AGTGTGAGAGAGAGACAGAGAGAGAGAGAGAGAGGTCTTCCTTTGCCGTTTATTCACCCTCCAATGGCCGCTGCGGCTGGCGTGCTGCGGCCAGCGCACTGCGCCTATCCGAAGGCAGGAGCTAGGTGCTTATCCTGGTCTCCCGGGGGTGCAGGGCCCAAGCACTTGGGCCATCCTCCACTGCACTCCCAGGCCACAGCAGAGAGCTGGCCTGGAAGAGGGGCAACCGGGACAGAATCCGGCGCCCCGACCGGGACTAGAACCCGGTGTGCCAGCGCCGCAAGGCAGAGGATTAGCCTAGTGAGCCGTGGCGCCAGCCTGACTCCTTTGTTTCTATTTTATAATCTTTCCCTCCCTTCCCAAACTGGCTGTATGTTCTCTTGTGAAAGGAGAAAGTTGTCTTTGACCCGCTGTGCGTACCAAGCACACATCCAAACTCAGCGCTGGTGAAACAAACCAACCAAAAGCGTGCAGGGTTGTGGAGTAGGAGCCATGGGCAGAAAGCAGCGTGCTCACGGTGAGCGGAGGGGAGGCCTGGCCTGTGGCCGGGAGCTGCACTGGCCTGTCTTCTACCCTTGGCCTCACGGTCCTTCTCTCATTTCCTGACGAGTTTTCCTGTGGCCCACCATACCCACAGTGCAAGTGCCAGCAGTAAACAGCCACCCGCTGCCTCCCTTCCCGCTCGCTGTATTTCTGCGGTGAGGCATCCTGGTCCACCCTTTGTCCTGACTAAGGCCGGTGGTAGCTGCTGGCCAGATGTGGTAGACACGGCCAGCAGGTTTGGTGACTGCACCAGCTCTTTTCTGTACATAAGCTGGCAAGAGAAAATGACACCTGCTATTTTTGTAATGAATCAAGATTAGGATAAGTTTTTAGAACTACTAGAGACATAACATTTTCTGAAATCCTACGGCTCTGCCGCCTGCTCTCGGGGCCTGGGTCCCAAGGGAGGCACCCACCTATTTCACCAACTCTGGCCACGCCCCTCCCAAATACTGAGAATCAAGGGACAGAGAGTCAAAGACAGAGGCTTCTGCTCACAGAATGCCAGTGCAGCATCCATCTCACGGGGGCCTGGTGCCCTCCCCGTCCTCTGCCCTCCTAACAATAAACACCTCTGCATTTCGAGACTGACTCAAGATCCAAGGTCATCCCATTGCCTCCTCCCGTGCCAGGTACACACAGTGAGTGGGCTTTGTCCCTCGCACAAGGAGCGTGAAGCTGTTACAGGAGGGAGGTCCCCCGAGCCCTCAGGCTGAGGAGCGCGGTGCGTGCACCCCTCTGCCCTTCCCGTGACATCAGGCAATGGGAGAGCCCTAAAACCCAAAGAGTAAAGCAAATCCTACCTTAGAAACAGAAAGGCTTTTTTAAGCACAGAGCTTAGTAAAATCATAAAGTTATTAACGCAACAGCTCACACTTTAATAGAAGACAATGAAACGAGATGAAATAGGAAATACGGAACTAAGGGAGCAAAGTGAAAACAAAGCAGCATCTGTCCAGATAAGTGAAATTGAAACAACAAGGAGCTTAATGGCCTGAAAATCGAATTATTGATGTAGGGGAAACCTGGAGGAAATCGTAGAGGAAGCAAAAGGAAAAGAGCCAAGAGGTGAACGCAACACGAGTCCTCCTCAGTGTGACCTGGGATCAACGCAGTTCATCTCCCTGGGGAAAGAAGGGCCACAGCAGGTATTTGAAGATAGAAGAGCAGACATTTGATAGAAATTAAGTGGTCAATAGGCAAAGGAGGTAACAATTCATGGTAGCAATTGGTATATTAGCATCAGCGCAGTATTAAGATTCAGCTAGAGAACCAAGGATATCCACTATGCCAACAAAATGTAAATATTATTAACTTTGATGAAGGAGAGATGAGAGTCAGTCAGTATTTAAACCTGGAACATGTATTAAAATCTGTTTAAAATATCCATTCTTTTCCAATTCTTAAGACACATTTTTAGGAAATTAGCCTGTCTTGTTTTTAAAAAGTATATATTAAGTTTAGCAATTCTTTTAACTTAAACTTCATTTAAAAAAATATTTATTTCATTTCATTTATTTGAAAAGCAGAGTGATAGACTGATCTTCCATCTGTTGGCTCATTCCCCAAGTAGCCACAGCGGCCTGTCTGTGCCAGCCTGAAGCCAGGAGCCAAGAACTCCCGCCCATGTGGGTGGCAGGGGCGCAGGAACTCGGGCCACCTTCCACTGCCTTCCCTGGCACACCCACAGGGAGCTGCATCGGCAGCAGAACAGCTGGGCCCGGAACTGGCCGCTCAGGATGTGACGTGGGCCGCTGAAGGCAGCTTAGCCCTCCGCACCAGAAAACCGCCCTCAGAACGCTTCGTTTTAAGTACAAAGTTAAACTGTACTTTTGTGTTTAAGACGTCTCTTTCGGGATGTTCCACTTACAGGCTCAGGTTTTGCATTTTTCTTTGGAGTACACCACATTCATTTAATAATAAGTATTAAAAACTTACTCCAAAAAGCGTGTGAAGCAGTAATATGAACAGAATCTGCCCCAGCTGGGCCTCTGGCTCTGCGAGTCTTACAGGGAGGGCGAGGGCGGATTTTCCTGCAGCTACTGGTGTTTGGGCTCTGCTAACTGCCCCTACCAAGGGCAGCTCCTCCTCATGTCCGTAGTTGTTTTAAGAGCATGGCTTTTCGCTTTTATGACCACTCATCTCCCAGCTTTTTGCCACTGGGTGGAGAAACTGCTCAGCCCCAATGGCTGTCACCTTTTTTCCTCACAGCCCCTTGCCTGGGGGAGTTAACAAGAGGTGTGGCTTTTTATTCGTGTCCTGGGACGGGAGAACCGGTGGACAGCATCATTTCATAAATGAGTGCCTTGAAGAATAAAAAAGATTTGCCCAGCATCTTCCTGTGAAGATGAAAAACACTGATCACTTCCTCTTCCTCTTATTCCTTCACTCAGATATGTTAGTCATGAGATACTCCCCCGTCTTCTGGTCCTTCTGGTTACAGTGGGTAAATGTATGTTTAGTGGAATACTATATATTTTTGTTGTTGAACTACTATAGGAGAACATATGAACTGACGTCACAACATGGTTAGAATATTTTATGTACTTTCTAATCCTCAGTAAATGCAAAGTCCTTGTAGTGTGCACATTTTGATCTAATGTGAATTTCAAATATGTATATTGCAACACATATGTGTATTTCAACTATTTGAAAATAATGCAGAATTAAAGGATCTGGCTTCTCTACAAATAAATAATATAAGGTTGGATAATTTTGTTTAGATCCAACAAATGGAATCCAAGTACATTGTGGCAAATAATTGCTCAAAAATATAATAGTTGACAGATTGTAAGAGATCAGTGCTACCTGAAATTCTAGTTTATTTCCAAAATAGCTAGAAATGGAGGTGGTTTTGTGTCTTGCCTTCTGCTGAAAGGTTCACCTGTTTCTCTGTCTCTGGACCTGCCCACTTGAACACCCATCTTCCTGTTACTTACCACAAACACAGCCAGGGTTTCTTTTTCAGCTGAAGTAGTGATTTCTTTTTAAACCAAGAGCCATTGCAGCATTGTGCAGACTTTTTAAACCCCAAATAAGTGCCTCATTTTACTTTCCTAATCTTCTGTTTGTTGATGTCATTGCCGTATTAGCAAGGGTTCGCCACGCGTGGGGGGCACTGTCGCTCCCCCTCTTCATGGAGGAGCAACACTAAACCCTGCCTAGGCTTCATATCCGAGTCACGGCACCATTATGTCGCTCCCCCTCTTCGTGGAGGAACGACACAGGACCCTGCGCTGTTCTTTCGTCTGCTCGGCCCTCCCCGGGTTTGCTGCTGGTTCTTCCCGGGTTGGCTACTATCCCTTCCACCTCCGTGGAAGGGCAGTTCCCCCTGGCCGCATTCCCCACTTCTGCAGGGGAGCGGCACACCGCCGGCCGGCTTTCTCGGGGGCTGCACGGGTTCCCTTAGATGTTCCCCATAGATGTTCCCTGGTGCATGCCGTCTCTCTCCTCCTTTATAGTCCTCCTCCGCCAATCCCAACTCGGCTGCCCACACGCCGAGTACGCTGCTCTCCTCCAATCAGGAGCAAGTCCTACAATTTATTAGTTGAACTGGAGGCAGCTGTGCAGAAGCTGTTTACTTCTCTCCCAGCGCCATATTGTGGGAGAGCAGATGCATAGAATAAGTCTTAATTCGAGTAACTTAGTCTAGTCCGGATTGCTCCCCACAGGGCACCTGAAGTTTCTGGCTCTGAGGTTCGTTAGCTGGCCGTCCTCTGTCTCCTTAGAGCCCAGGCATCGCCTGTGTAGGAACTTGCTGGGGATGGCTGCGGGGTCTCCTTCTCTGTCCTCAGCCCTCCGCCTGTGCTGTGTGGGCAGGCCTGGGCCCTGCCAGCAAGGGGGAGGCGGGACCACTCAGCTTTGAGACATCTGCTCGGGACCCGTTCCGTGGGAGGGAACGTGGCATTCTAGATGCGGGCGCTGGCCTCTGTATGAGTCTTTCACACGTCCTGATGGGCAGCGTTTCCAAATCTGTCTCCTTCAACTGCCATCCTCAGTCCCAGCACCCTCGTGGCGACAGTCTTAACTTCTCAGAAAATTATAGTTGGTGTAGGTCCAGTTTCACCAACTGATTTTTTAATTTTTTTATTTTTTGACAGGCAGAGTGGACAGTGAGAGAGAGAGACAGAGAGAAAGGTCTTCCTTTTGCCGTTGCTTCACCCTCCAATGGCCGCCGCTATGGCCGGCGCACTGCGCTGATCCGAAGCCAGGAGCCAGGTGCTTTTCCTGGTCTCCCATGCGGGTGCAGGGCCCAAGCACTTGGGCCATCCTCCACTGCACTCCCTGGCCACAGCAGAGAGCTGGCCTGGAAGAGGGGCAACTGGGACAGAATCCGGCGCCCCGACCGGGACTAGAACCCGGTGTGCCGGCACCGCTAGGTGGAGGATTAGCCAAGTGAGCCGCGGCGCCGGCCTCACCAACTGGTTTTTAATCTGTCTTTCTTTTTTTTTTAACAGAAATCCTAGAGGCTGGTATTAAAGGGGCTTCGGAATCCCTCAAAGGTGTGAAACGGAAGAAGATTGTAGCCGAGAATCACCTGAAAAAGATACCAAAGTCCCCGCTGAGGAACCCTCTGCAGGCGAAACAGAAACAAAACACAGAGGAGGCAGCCTTCGCTGCCCCTCAGGGCGCTGCGGGGGCGCAGAGGAGGCAGAACCCCCTCTCTGTAAAGAACGGGAAGCAGCTCACCAGGCAGAATGGGGACGCACCTGCGATAGCCGCCGAGGACAGCGTCTCCCCCAAGAAGCCCCCGTTTGTCCAGCACGCGGCGGAGCTGCGCAGGTGGAGGTCGGAGGGCCCCGGGCCGGCCAGGGTCGGCGTCCTCGATGGCAAACGGGACTCCCCGGCAGGCGCGGCCAGGCCCGCGGGCCGAGATGGTGGCGCCTCGCCTTGCAGAGCGCCCTCCCCACCCTACACCGCGACCGCTTTCGATGTGCTACTGAAGGCCATGGAGCCGGAGCTGAGCACCTTGTCACAGAAGGGCTCCGCGGGTGCAATGAAGGCTGAAAAACCACGAGCCAGCAAAACCGGACGGTCGCCTTCCAGGTTAAAAACCAGCTCCGTGGACGCCCCTGGCCAGCCCGCGTGCGAGTCAGCCGCTGGACCCCAGCCTGCTCCGGGGGCCTTGTTTGCCGCACACGTGGCCACTGTACAGCAGGAACAGGCACCAGCCCAGCCCGCGTCTCGGCCCTACAGTCGGCACGAACACTTCGTCTCCCAGCCCAGCCAGCATCACCAACAGCTTCCCGGATGCTCCGGGTTCGTGGGAGCGCAGCCGACGCTGCAAAGTCGGGAGAACGCCAACCTTGAGCAAGTGCATAACACCACGGTGACGTCATCTGTGGGCCCCCCCTGCCCTTCCAGAACTCAGGTTACACCCCAAAGCCAGCACCTGGAGGTCGCGGCGCCTCTGTCCGTTAGTCCAGTCACTTCCGCCCAGTCGCCCCCCGCACCCGTTTACAACTCAGTGGTGAATCAAAGCGTCGAGCAGATGTGCAACCTTCTTCTAAAGGACCAGAAGCCAAAAAAGCAAGGGAAGTACATCTGTGAGTACTGCAGCAGAGCCTGTGCCAAGCCCAGCGTGCTCCTGAAACACATCCGCTCCCACACCGGGGAGCGCCCCTACCCCTGTGTGACCTGCGGGTTTTCATTTAAGACCAAAAGCAACCTGTACAAGCACAAAAAGTCCCACGCACACACCATCAAACTGGGCCTCGTCTTGCAGCCAGATGCTGGCGGCTTGTTCCTGTCCCAGGAGTCCCCCAAAGCCCTGAGCATCCACTCGGATGCCGAGGACAGCGGGGAGAGCGAGGAGGAGGGTGCCCCCGAAGAGAGACCGAGCGACCCTGGTGCCATGAAGCTGCAGCCGGTGCAGGTGACGAAGAGGCTGTCAGGCACTGAGGCTTTACTGGCCTCGAGTTCTGTCCTGGGCCGCGCAGACCGTGCAGTGGACAGATCTGCAGAGTCTGTGACGGACTTACCCAAAGTGGTGGTCCACCCCAGCACCGTGTCCCCCGCGAGGACTGACGCCCCGAAGGCCGTCAGCCCCAAGCTTGAACTTGTGAGTGCCCAGAGGCACAAGGAGCTCCAGGTCCCACACGTGCTGTCACCCTCGGCCGGCGCGAGCCCCCTCGAGATGGACGAGCAGTCCCACCGGAAAGGGGACGCGAGCCAGCCGGAGGGCAAAGCAGACGCTGCAGCGGGGACAGCGCACGCCCAGCTCCAGAGGCAGCAGGCCACCGACTGCTCGCAGGAGCAGCAGGGAAAGCTGCTGAGCCCTCGCAGCCTGGGGAGTACGGACTCGGGCTATTTTTCCCGCTCCGAAAGCGCCGATCAGGCGGTGAGCCCGCCCACGCCCTTTGCCAGGACGCTCCCAGCCCCCGAGCAAGACGCCAGCAAGGCTGCTGGGCTGCCCGGGCCTCGCGGCAGCGCGCCTGCACCCTCTGCTTTCCCGCCGGGGGACAGGGGTCAGCTCTTGCCAGGTCAGATGCGCCCACCGCTGGCGACAAAGACCCTGGAGGAGCGGATCTCCAAGCTCATCTCGGACAATGAGGCCCTGGTGGACAACAAGCAGCTGGACAGCGTCAAGCCCCGGAGGACGTCGCTCTCGCGGCGGGGGAGCATCGACTCCCCCAAGTCGTACATTTTCAAGGACTCTTTCCAGTTTGATTTGAAGCCAATGGGGCGGAGGACGAGCTCCAGCTCGGACATCCCCAAGTCCCCGTTCACCCCCACCGAGAAATCCAAGCAGGTGTTTCTTCTGTCCGTCCCTTCCCTGGACTGCTTGCCGATCACCAGGAGTAACTCCATGCCCACCACGGGTTACTCGGCGGTCCCTGCAAGCATCATCCCTCCCCCACATCCTCTGCGAGGAAGCCAGTCGTTCGATGACAAGATCGGCGCGTTCTACGATGACGTCTTCGTGTCTGGCCCTAACCCCTCCGTGCCCCCCAGCGGCCACCCCCGCACGCTGGTCAGACAGGCAGCGGTGGAAGACGCATCCGCAGGGGACCACCAGGCGCTCGGCCCCGGGCAGCCCTCGGAGGAGAGCCTACACGGCTGCCAGGCCGCCGGCGAAGGTGTGGCAGCGGCCAGGGGCAAGGCGCCGGCCCCAGGCGCGCACCCAGAAAAGAAGAAGTCCCACCAAGGGCGGGGGACGATGTTTGAGTGCGAAACCTGCAGAAACAGGTACCGGAAACTGGAGAACTTTGAAAACCATAAGAAATTTTACTGCTCGGAGTTACATGGACCGAAGACCAAGGTGGCCCTGAGGGAGCCAGAGCAGAGCCTGGTGGCTGGCGGCGCGCAGCCTCAGATGCTGCACTACCGAGTGGCCGGCTCCACAGGCATCTGGGAGCAGACGCCGCAGGTCAGGAAGAGGCGCAAGATGAAAAGCGTGGGCGACGAGGAGGAGCTCCAGCAGACAGATGGCGGGGCAGCCCCGCAGAGCTGCGAGGCCCCCGCGTCTCAGAGCGCCCTGGGCTCCGCGCCCGCCGCGGCCCCCACGCGGGAGCCCCAGCGCAGAAGCACACACCTGCAGAGCTCCCAGGTCCAGCTGGCAGCCAGGGGCCTCGACCAGCCCGCGGACGCGAAGCTGACCACCATCGCGGAGCAGCACCTGGGCCCGGCCGCCATGGACAAGGGCGAGCTGGCAAGGATCGGGAGTGGGATCTCGGTCATCCAGCACACCAACTCCCTGAGCAGGCCCGGCTCGCTTGACAAGCCCGAGCCTTCTGAAGGCGGGCCCCCCGGGTCCCTCCAGGAGCTGGGCAGGACGGGCAAGCCCGGGGCTCTGAAGGTAGTAGGGGGCTCCCAAGAGGAAGCCCACCCTTCTCGCGAAGCGGCGCCCCTTGCCCAGCCCGCGCCAGCGGGGCCCCTCAGAGGAGAGCCGCAGGAGGGCTCCAGGAAGATGTCTGGTGAGCGGCACGTGTTGGGACAGCCCTCGAGACTTGTCCGGCAACACAACATCCAAGTCCCGGAAATTCTGGTCACCGAAGAACCAGATCGGGACCTGGAAGCCCAGAGCCACGACCCAGAAAAATCCGAGAAGTTCAGCTGGCCTCAGCGCAGCGAGACCCTGTCCAAGCTGCCCACCGAGAAGCTGCCGCCCAAGAAGAAGCGGCTGCGGCTGGCCGAGATGGAGCGCTCCTCCACGGAGTCGAGTTTCGACTCCACCCTGTCCAGGAGCCTCAGCAGGGACAGCAGCTTGTCGCACACGTCAAGCTTCTCGGCCTCCTTCGACACGGAGGACGTCTCGCCCAAAGCCGAGTGTCTAAATAAAGCGGAGTTTCTTTTGATTCCGCCCGCCTCCAATACTCTGAGCGTTCCCGGCGGTCCCCGGGAGATGAGGCGCGCAGCCTCGGAGCAGATCGGTTGCGTGCAGACGTCCATGGAGGTCTCGGATCTCAGAAGCAAGTCCTTTGACTGTGGAAGTGTGACTCCGCCCCGCCCGGCCCGGCTCCCGCTCCGGGAGCCACAGCCTTCTGCCTCCCCCGGGCACGTGCCACTCTTGGAGAGGCGGCGTGGCCCGCTGATCCGGCAGATTTCCTTAAACATAGCTCCCGAAGGGCTTTCCTCTTCCTCGCCAGCACACCCAGCCAGCACAGTGCCGCTTCTGGTCCCCGCACTCCCCGCACCGCCTCTGCCCGAGTTCCCCGCACCAGGTAAGGACCTGCGGCCAGAAGCAGCGAATTCCGGCTCCAGTAGCATCCTTCCCGGGCAACAGATTTTCGGCACCAATCTGCTAAATCGAAGCCATGCACCCCTCAGCCGCCAGAACGCTCAGTCGGCCCCGCACGTGTCTTCACAGGGCGACCACCCAGGTGCAGGTCCTGGTCCACGAGACGCCTCCAAAAACGAGGACTGCTTTGCTCCCAAATACCAGCTTCATTGTCAGGTTCTGGCTTCAGGCAAGTCTTCCCCCTCCAGTCCCGCCCACGCTTTGCCAAATCAAGCCCTGTCCGATCCAGCCGGAGTGGATCATGGCGCCATGGCGGCGGTGTTACCCAGCGAGTTAGGAGATCTCAGGTCAAGGTCATGTCCTCGCCCCCCGCCGGAGCTGGGGCCCCTGGGCGGTCAGGGGCAGAAGGTGCCGCCCTCCTTCGTCCTGCCTGTGCCTCTTCATGGCAGTGTGCCCGCCTACTGTTTCCCTGCCGTGACCTCTCTGCCACAAATCCTAGTGACCCAGGATTTGTCCAGTCAGCCAATTTGCCAGGCTAATCCTAGTATCGTGCCAGTCAGCGAAGAGCTGAACTCCGTGCCAAGATCACAAAAGGATGAGCAGACGGCTTTGCCAAACTCCAAGAAGGAACTTGTCTGCGATCTTGCTTTCTCAGAGCCGGGCCCGAGTCCTGTCTTGGAATCCTCAGCCCTGACTCCGAAGATGTCCGTGGGCAGGCTTTCCCCCCAGCAGGAGTCTTCAGCTTCCAGTAAAAGGATGCTCTCCCCGGCCAACAGTTTGGACATTGCCATGGAGAAACACCAGAAGCGGGCGAAAGATGAAAATGGAGCCGTGTGTGCCCCCGAGGCCAGGCCGCCCGAGCCACCGAGTTCCAGAGCCGGTGAGGTCAACAAGCAGAAGAAACCCGTCCTGGTGAGGCAGGTGTGCACCACCGAGCCCCTGGATGGCGCCGCCGCCGCGGCGGAACAGGGGGCGTTTTCTCAACCCGACGTTAGCAGCGGCGCGTCTGTTCATTTGACGGATGTTTTGCCGGCTGATAGTTCCTCCTCGGGACCCGTAAGTGAAGCGCAGGAGTCTGAGAGCATCAAGTCCCCCGCACCCTCAGGAAATTCTCCCGTCCGTCCAGAAACCACTCACGTTTCTCCTCCACAGTGCGCACGTGGTGACCAAGAAAGGAAGTCCCCAGGGGTCCGAGTGACCGGCCAAGATCCAAGGCAGCTAGCAGGGACCACTCTCCCACTGGGTGACACCAGGGACACGCAGCAGCTGGCCTTCCCCAGCCTCAAGACGGCAACCGGCTTTACGTGGTGTTACCTGTCAAGGCGGAAGTCACTGCCGTGGCCTCAGCGTGACCAGAGGACGTCGGCCTATTCCGACTGGACCGTCAGCTCCAGGGATCCAAACCCACTTGGTTTGCCTACAAAGGTTGCTCTTTCTCTTCTTAACTCCAAGCAGAAGACTGGAAAATCGCTGTATTGTCAAGCAATAACCACCCATTCAAAATCAGATCTGTTGGTCTATTCGAGCAAGTGGAAAAGCAACTTAGGCAAGGTACATAAAATATAGCTTATCATCAAATATGGTTATGCAGATAGTTTTTGATGTGTCTCAAGAACCTTTAAATATTTTTAATTGGAAATAGTTTGATTGTGAATGCCAAATTGAGCTTTCTGTGTGGTAGTGTTTCAAAGACAAAGTAGTCTAGATTCTCTGACCCGGGTTATGTGGGATGATAACTTACCCTGAGCATTTTTTTTCTTAGCTGATTGTGTAAGGCAGGGTCACTTTGCTCTTTCTTCTCTATTGAGGTTTTGTTCTTGTTAAGTGAGAGGACATTGTGGTGGTCCGCAGGGTTATGGATAATCAAAGATTCTTGTATTTCTCTTTGGATATAAGTTGAGAGCCATTCATACGCCTTCTGGGGTTGTAACTCCCCTCACCACGCCCATCCTAACTCTTTCTCGGGAGCGCTGAGAATCGTTAGTACTAGAGAGCAGATTCACAAAATCATTAACTCACACCCTTGATAAGTAGATCTGGTCAATATCTACAGGTTAATTGAAGGTCACGGAACTATAATTTTGGGTAATTTGTGAAATCAGAATCATTAGAATTGTTGGCTTTATAAAATGGGAAAAAATCAATTAAGTGATTAAGAACAAGTAAATAGTAACTTTATCATGTTGGACTCTGGACATTGAGAAATATAGATTAAATCCTTGACCCCTGCCGGTCCACAAGTATTTAATGCAGGCTTGTAAGTATTTGCATACCTATCAAAATAGAGTAATATCAGTATTCTGAGAGAAATATGTCTAGTTCTAAAGGAACTACAGCTGACATTGCCTATGAGGGGAAGAGCTGTGGAAGATTTAAGAACGTCTAAATGTTTAGACTGTCAGTCTGTGTCAGAATACCGGGAGATGAGACCGAGGCTTGGGCATGGGAACAGCTTCACGCGTGCTCCAGGAGTGCTGAGAGACACGGCTCTCCTTAAGGACCAAGTGCCTTGGAAGACGGCTCTGGAAATGCGTATCTAGAGTGGGATCTCAGGAGAGAACTCCAGATGGAAGGTGTGCAGATGCCTCAGTGCCCAGGGGTAGGAAGAAGAGGAGGGGGCCCAGACTAGAACCTGGGGATCTGTTAGGTCTACATCCCCCCAGAACATGGAAGAGATTTTCCGAGGAAGGGGAGAATCCTGAGAAAGGGCTGCTGTGCACACCTTGGAAGAAGGTATTTCAGGGAGAGCTGCTCAGGTAGAAGGTCAGGTGAAGAGGGAGGCAGGCAGGAGTCTGTGTGGACAGTTCTGGTACCGGTGGACTCCGGTGTCTGCGCTAGAGTGAGTACTGGGTGACTTAGCCACAACCCGGATGTGACGCACTGAACCACCTCGAATAGCAAGAACAGTTGGAGTGCTTAGAGAAACAAGGCACCAGCAACACCTGGTCCCTCCAAGCGCAAAGCCTAAGAAAATGACAGTGATTTGGGCATTCAGCTCAGTGATAACTGGCAAATAGAAGCTGAATTTGATCATAAGAAAGCAAGCAGAAGGTAGAGGGGACTTGGGTACGGAAAGAAGGTGAGAAGGAGAGAAGGAGGATTCCGTTCAGGTATGACACCAAGGAGAGAGTTGCAAGCTTGTATTTCAAACTGTGGGGAGCCCAGTGTGCAGGAGGAGACGGCTGCATTCTCACCTCCTTGGGGCTCACGGTCAGGGTCCCCGCACACTGCCTTCCAGTGGAACATGTCCCAGTGGGGACAGTGGCTTCCCTGGGTGCCTGTGTGAGACCACACAGACCCACCCCTCCACAATGCACTCTGGCAGCCTCACTGTCCTAAGGTCATCTCAAGGTCATAGCCAGCGGAGAGAACTTGTGCAATGTGCTGGAGTCAGCCAGAGGACTCGGGCTAGGCCTGTGCTGTTGACCTTTGCCCTTTGACAAGGATCTGAGGACTCCAGAGTGTGTTTCTCACTGGGACATGATCTGCCCGGGTTTCCTGCTTCTCGGCGTGTGTGGGCGGCCTGGCGTGATGAGTGAGGAAGCATCCCATCAATGGTGCTGCAAAATCCCGCGCCAAATGGGAACGCGGTGTTTTTCCTTTGTTCCCTGAGGCAAACCGCGTAGCGTTGGATCATTCCTGAGTCTTTTCCCGGTTGTTATTGGTCCAAAAACCCGACTTTTCAGTTGACTTGGATCTCAGAGTTTGCAGAAGCTGGAGAACTTTCTAGAAGATAGAGGGGGAAACCATCCCTGTGATTTAAGCTAGTGGGGAGAAGGGTGGTGCCCCCATAGGCTGTCAGGAGAAGGAGGCTCAGGGGTGCAAGGCAGTCTGTGGCAATATGTTTGGAAAAGCAGGTGCCATCCCTTTAAGAGGGCACAGCAGTTGTAGCAGGATTGGTGGGTTACACATAAGGAGGAGTGTTCAGTCTGTGTAAAAGTCCCTGTGAAACCCCTGGCCTACCAGGGTGCATTGCAATATCAGTGAACCGTGATCAGATTTTAAGATAACATAAAATTGATCAGTTTTGTACGGCGTAGGCAGGTTGATGACAAGGAAAGAGATTAAAGTAAATGACCTTTGACCCTGTTATTCTTGGAAATGCATTTCATTATGTTAACTGTATCCTCTATAGTCTGCCATGTTTTAATTTCCAGTGAAACATTAGCATGTGTGTGTTTTCAGTTTTATTAAATTAGTTTCTCTTTTTTTTTCCTTTCAGAGAGCATTAGGTAATCAAAAGTCCACAGTAGTTGAATTCAGCAATAAAGATGCCTCTGAAATTAACAGTGAGCAAGATAAAGAAAATTCCTTAATCAAAAGTGAACCGAGAAGAATTAAAATATTTGATGGAGGGCAAGTACAAATTTTACTTCTTAAATGTACATTTAAACTTACTTTTTAAATGTACATTTGTTTTTATGTGAATGAAGATTCATCAGTGCCAGCTTTATGTAATTGTTGTGAGACTTTACAGCTTATTAACAGTCCTCATGGCAAAATACGTTGTGTTATTTTGGGATACGTTGTAGGTCCTATAAGGCAGCTAAGATCTGCATTTTTGGACTGCACCCTGGGTTTCATGTTGACTTGCAGCAGGGATGCAGTGGAAGACCTGCCCTGAGGGAGATGAACGCATTGCCTGTGGATGCATTTGTGTGTCATGTATGAGAACAAGCTATGAAGGGCAAATGTAGTTACACCGAAGCTCAGAAATATTTCAGAACTTACAGTTGCTACGCTTGAATTTAGCAGCGGAAAGATACTTTAAGCCAGTAACTTAGAATTAGGGAAATGTTTGCAAGCGAAGCGTCATATTGAGCAAGTTTCTTTGATTAGAATATTATGAATGCCAGTGCAATAATGAATATTAGAATATTGTGTTGATATGAAAAACTGAAATATTCTGTTATTCACATGTGCATACAGTTTTTATTGGGTAGAAAAAAGTTGTGCCTTGCTTTATTTTTTAGGTTGCAATTTTAATCATCGATACTTTCTCTCAAAGACATAGTGTCCAATCTCCCTATTCATTTTTTTTTCTTTAAATTAGATACAAATCAAATGAAGAGTATGTCTATGTCCGAGGCAGGGGAAGAGGAAAGTACATTTGTGAAGAATGTGGAATACGTTGTAAGAAACCTAGCATGTTAAAGAAACACATACGGACCCACACAGATGTCCGCCCCTACCACTGCACTTACTGTAACTTCTCCTTTAAGACCAAAGGTAGGACATGCACGTGGCTTCCTGGTCCTTTTTATATGCTTTCAGGCAGCAGACCCAACTTGGCAAATTCTTTGATCAAGAATATGGTAGTTTAAATACACAGATTTCACTGTAGCTCCTCAGCACTATAGTCTTATTTCTTTGTATGTTTCCAGAACCTGGGGGAAGGCTTTTCAGGAAGTGTGTGCTAAGCATAAGACTTTGAAACAAGCAACGCCTCTTTATTTTACTCCCCATGTTACATTGGCGAGCCTGGTGACTACTGTATTTTCAAACATAACTGGGGACTGAAGAAGAAAAAACATTTTCATGATCCAGGGAATTCATTTGGATGATGAAAGATTGAAAAATTTAAAATAGCAGCCCCAGTAAACTTTAATAATGTTTACACTTGGGTTTTATTATCTATTTTTAGACATATATAGCCATCCCTTTATTTATTTTCAATGATGCATTTTTTTAACCCAAAAACTGTTGAATTTCACCTTCAAAAAAGTTTTAAGGTTTCCATGTAATGTTCATAAAGAGATCTCAGAACTGGTTATCATCATTGTATTTAGCCCCCTTTTTATTTCTAAGTTTTTGTTTAAACTTGAAGTCTTTACTACAGTTAAAATCCCTTTACCCGCCACAAGTTTCCTGGGTGCACTATTATAAAATGTTCACTTTCTCCATTGGGCTCCTTCTTCATGCTCCATTATATAACAGCATGTCAACTTGAGATTTTAGGTTCATATACCACCCTTTAAAAACTAGGAATCTCTCTTCCACAGGGCAGTGTAGTCATGGAAATGTATGTCTGAAAACATACAAATGTATGTATGTAAAAAATTTTAATTGGTTTTTATAGAAACTCTTTTTATCCCTTTTGAGTTAACATTTGCTTTTTTCCCCGATTCTTTTGCTTGTCTTTACAGTTTTTGTTTCAAAGATCAATACCTTAGCAAAATTTACTGTATATTTTTTGGATCAGATTTATTGGCATTTAAAGAGGGTTGTAACCTAGAACAACTGAGTAGGATCAGTTGAGTTCCCTTCAAAAATGCCATTAGTGTCTGAAACAAGACTAATGGGAAGAGGAGACGTTCTTCAGGTAGTCTTGAATAGTCCCAGCAGGGTTCAGGAACACAAAGGGTTTCTGAACTCTCCTTCTGCAGCTCTTGGGTTGAGATGCAGGTCCCCTTTCTTTTCTTTTTTTTTTTTTTTTTTTTTTTTTTTGATAGGTAGAGTGGACAGTGAGAGAGAGAGACAGAGAGAAAGGTCTTCCTTTACCATTGGTTCACCCTCCAATGGCCACTGTGGCCGGGCGCACCACGCTGATCCGAAGCCAGGAGCCAGGCGCCTCTCCTGTTCTCCCATGCAGGTGCAGGGCCCAAGCACTTGGGCCATCCTCCACTGCACTCCCAGGCCACAGCAGAGAGCTGGCCTGGAAGAGGAAAAACCGGGACAGAATCCGGCGCCCAGACCGGGACTAGAACCCGGTGTGCCGGCGCCGCAGGCAGAGGATTAGCCTAGTGAGCCGCTTCGGTCATCTGTCCCAGTGCATTGCCTTTTCACTGGTTTTGGCCCTAGCTATGATTAAGGAACGTCTGTTAGTGTCCAGCGTGAGGCCAGGGACATATTTAAAAGGCTGATACTACTAATAAAAGATTACCAAATACAGAGTGTTAGCAAATATAGGAAGATCTCTAGGTATCATGTGGAATGGGTATTGCTCAATAGAAAGAAAAAAAAAAACAACAAATAAGGGTTGCTGTTGTTGTATTCATAAAATAAAGACAAGAATGGAAGGACAGCCCAGGTGTGGAAAGCAAGTGGGACCTGAGAGACGTCTTGGCAAAGCCAAATGCTCAGTCACCAAGCAGTAGTTACTTCGCTGAGAGAACTTGACAGCACGTCCTGCAGGATTTTCTATGAATGCCTGTTCAGGGGTGGACAGAGCAGAATCCCCATAGAGGGGGCATTATCTCTTCGCACTCTGCATGGCTTACATTTCTCTAATATTCTGCATATCTGAATTTCATTAGATTTTTTGTCTCATCCGGTAAGTCATGTGGAATTGCACGATAGTCATTTAATTGAATGAGGCTGTCCTAGCTCCTGAGGCTGGTGTAGAACCTCCTGGAAACGCACCGTTCCCCTGTTCCTGGCGTGCCAGTGTCCGTTTTTTGAGGGTCAGCTTCCTTCCAGCAGTCTACCTTTTGTGAATCTTTGTAACACAGATTCTAGAGCACCTATGAAGATAGCTAAACAACAATAGACCTTTTTTGTCCCCTTTCCATTAGGCTGTAGATTTTGCCCGATTCTGATTGACTTTGTTATCCTAGCCAGTCAACTCTATTCTTCTCATTGAATGTGTCTGGAAATGGAAGGCAGTAGTGATGTTAGGTCCTGCTGTATAAATTTGCTATACAAAGATAGCAAAATGCGCAGCCCCAGAAATTGCTGCTTCTGATGGCCATGCCTCTGGACCTATAATTCATCCCAGTTTGTTTCATGAGCACGTTTTCAGAATAATTTTAATTGACTGGTTTCCCTGATTCAGCAAGGTCAGTCAACAGGAAGCAGTGTGCGTACGTGTCTGCCACATTTAGCCACTTTTGTGTCCCGACAGCGATGCTACGCATAGCTATAGGAATTGAGAAACGAAACTTCTCGTGCTTACCAGAAGACTGAGATCAACATTCATTAACTACTGAAAAATGTGAAGTCCATACACAAACTTTATAATATCGCTAGCTAGGAGATACTTGCATAAGAACTTTTCTTCCAAAGTTGGCCTCATTAATAACCATATATTAACTTCTTAGATAGCAAGGAAGCTGCTGTGGCAGTCAGTCTAGGTAGGGAACAGCAGTATTTTGAAAGAGAACTGTCAGTGGACCTTACAAATTGCTTTGTAATATCATCGTTACACTCGTGACTCGCAATTGGAAATCTCAGCCGTGTTAAATGGCTAAGCCATTTTTATAATTTCTTAATAGGACAACTTTGAAGCTTTCACAAAAAAAAAAAGAGATTTGAACATCATCTTCTTTTGACAATTGTTAATATTTTGCCATGTTTGCTTCGTGTTTCATTTTCACAGTATTTTTCATGTAAATGTGAGACACAGGCAAACCAAGTACGCCTGGTGTTACCTTTAGACTCAGCAGAGCTGGGGTCTGATGGGTCTCGGGCATCAGTGGGCCCAGGCAGCCTGGTGCACCCGAAATCCTTGAACTCTGAGCTCCACGGTGCTGTGTGGATGCTCAGACAAGAATGTGCTCTGCGTGGGACTTGGCTTGTCCACGTGCCGCCAGTCTCACAGCCACGGTGCGATTACCAAGGAGCTGAAGCACTGTCAGTAGGGCAGTTTTGTCTATGCTCCAGCTACTGCAGATCTGAGATCTGGACCAGTGTTTTAGACTTTCACAGCTCTTCTGACGACTTAGCCTCAAATACTGCTTTGCCCCTGCCCACCCAACTCTGTATTTAGAATTTGGCGTGATAGCGCCCTTGTTGGTGCTACTCTGTGTTCATGTCACCCACAAGATGTTTGGTGTCCCCAGAGGAATCTGAGCTGTGCCCTGCATTCATGATCACGTGGGTCCCTGCTCAGCTGCCAACGTGTGGAGAGGTCTGTGCAGCTGCCAGAGATATCATTATAATATAAGACAGTAGCCATCAGGCATAGCTTTTGATAGGTAGTCAAGCTCAAAATCTTAAAAGGTAAACTCCCAGGTACCAGAAATAAAGAAGAAACCCAAAGCTAGCATGGTGAGCAAATAGTAAAAAAATAATTTCTGAGTCCAGATGATATTCAAAACTAGGTGTCCACCTACAAGCCCATGTCCTGGGACCGAGGCTGAAGCCCCTGAAATAAGTCTGGCTCTCCTCTCCAGTGACTTTGGCCACGTGAGAAATGAGATCCCCCAGAATGCAAAGCCCTACCCCTCTTTCTTGCAGAAAACAAAGCAGAGCCAAAAAAAAAAGCAAGCTGGTCCAGAATCCGTGGTCTGCACTAGTGTGACCATTAAGACCCCAGGCAGCTGAACGACTGCCTGATGGAGATGTTTGCCTTGCAGGGCACTTAGGGCTCCTGGGAGGCAGCCTTGCTGGAGGTCAGCCCAAGAAACGTGTGGAGAAACCAGCTAGGGAGCGAGCAGGGTGCACAGCCCAGGAACGGCAGATCACCGTGCGCCCTCACAGGGACTCTGAGTGAAGGGAGTGTAACACACCAAGAACAAATAAGGAGTGGAGAAGACAAATGGGGAGGCAGAGGCAGACATGCCCCACGTGGAGGAGACAGCTTTTAAGAGGGGAAATGGCTAGTAGTGAACAGCAGGGTCATTGCAACATACCGATGCCAATATTTTCTTTGGTCCAGTCATTGGATTTGTGTAACCGCAGTCTATACTTTTGCTTGAAATAGAAATGGGGTTTGCCAGTGTTGACAACTACAACAGCAAAATAATGCTATGTAAGCTTAGTAAACATTCTTTTCCCTTAAGGAAATCTGACAAAACACATGAAGTCCAAGGCACATAGCAAGAAATGTGTGGATTTAGGCGTCTCAGTAGGTTTAATAGATGAACAAGATACAGAAGAATCAGGTAAGGCTTTCTAACATATTTTTCATCAATGCTGTTTACAATGTCTTATTATTTTTTGCATCCACACTCTTCTTTCTGTTCCTGCTGATACTGCTTAATCCTGTGTTCATTGCCTCTTACGTGTCCTGTGCCATAGACTGCACATCAGCCCTCCCGTCTCGAGCTCCTCTTCTGCCCTCCATCAGTCTTCCGCAGTGTGTGTCTGTGTGATGGTACCACTCCGCTGCCCAGTGCCCCAGCACCTGCCCCCTGCCTCCCACATGGAGTGTCACCCGCTTCCCCTTAAGCAAGAGCCGGTACACCCCCAGCCTCCTGCTTCCAGTCTCTCTCTCCCACCCTCACACCTGAACGCCATGCACCTAGCCACCTGCCTGCCTTCGCAGCCCTCCCTCCGAACTGTCCTGGCTCCCTACACAGGAGCGGCTCCCCGTCTACACCGGTTGAACCCTCACTTTCCTTCCCCATCCGGCTCAGACTGCTTGATGCCTTCTCCGACTCTCCCCTCTCTTGCCATTTGTGCGATCCAGTTTTCCTCTTCCCTGAGCTCCTGTCGGCAGCAAGGTTTCCCCCTGCCCACATTCTCCTGCGGTCCTTCTCTGCTTGCCCGTCCCCTGCACCGGCGCCCCGGGGCAGAATCTGGCTGAGTGGTGTCGGCCTCGCAGCAGCTGCTCTCGGAGTTCTTGTGGATAAAACATCTGTTTGGTTCTCCAGAATGTTTGTTCTTCTGCAGAAGTTACCTGGTTCTTTGTATACAAAATGGTAACACAGCACATATATCTCTGACTGACAAAATAAACCCGCTCGTCTGTTCTGATTGGTCAGAGAATAGAAACACTTTTTTGAAAAACCTTTCTCTAACCTAAAGGTTTATCAACAAAAGAGAGAATTCAAAAGATATTTATCCCACTGCTTTTTAGGAAAAAAAAGCCCTAAGATAAACATCTATCAGTTTCCAAGTATTTCTTAATATGCATTAGTTTGGTATGAGAAAATGACGACACCACTGAAAATATAGGTAAAGAGTCAAATGCATTTTGCCCCGCCTGATAATCAGTAACACAGTAAGCGAGTCAGCCAGGACTTATTTCTAAATATGCAGAAGTGACTCATATTGAGCAGCACGGAGCGATTCAGATGTAAAAAGCTAGGAAAAATGCGGATGAGTTTCAGCAAATGCATTCATTACCCGCTGACGAGGGGAGGTACCAGGTGCAGGTGGCAGAATGAGACCTTGGTGTCTGGAAAGCTGTGACAGTGGAAAAGGTATGATTGCACTAATGTGTGCCCTGACATATTTTACCTCGTTAAGATGAGGCTCAGAAAAATTAAGACGTCTGTAGAGTCCTCCGAATTATCCCAGAAGGTGGTGTTTATGTCCCAAATTTGCGTAGAGTTGGTGTAGTCTCCATGAATTAGCATGCATTGTGCAGATTTAGATGGGCTGGCTGGCTGGTTGACTTACATATCTGTCCATCAGTTTTTTATTTTTCATCCAGTTCCAAAAACATTTGAAGCCAGCCTCAGATTATAAATCAAAGTTGATAGCTTTTCGCCCTATTTGGAATAGGTCTTCTGATAAAATGAAGTCATTTTGCTTGCATTCCTCTGGGTTTTTTTCTTAATTATCATATGCAGGTAGGGTATTCAGTTTCTGTATGATTTTTATGGAACATGAAGGCGTAACATCCAAGTGAAGGTTTGCCAAGTGCCGTGTCAGAGTAGGGACCTAGAGTCTTTATTGCTGCTCCAACAAATGATGTTCCTCTCCTTTTGCTTTATTGCAGGCTTGCAGTGTAGGTGCAGACAGCACAAGGTTGTTGTCTTAAACCAATCCTCCATCTTCCTTCATTACACTCGTTTGTGCTTTTATAAAAAAAAAAGTATTTTGAATTTTTTTTAAATTCAAGAAAAGTACAAAGGAACTTTATTACATGCACTGCTGTATGTACAGCAGAGTTGATGACTGTAAATACTAGCCATGACTTCTTTTGTTAAAGGAAATCAACTGAATTGGGCATTGCAGATGAGGGTCGAGTCCCCAGCCCAGTCACCAGCCTCTCGCCCTCCCCCATAGGCAGAACTAAATGAATGAGGGGTGTTCCTTTCAGTCCATGTAACGTGCCTGTGTACCCTGATGACTGGCACGTGGTTCTGTTTGTGTGGGGAACTCAAGTTTGTGTGAACAGTACCGCTGTGTACATAGGCACCTGGGAAGCTGACCTTACCGTGTAATTTTACATCAGTTTCGAGAAGAGCGTTCCCCTCTCCCCACCCCCTAACCGTGATTTGCGTTGTCAGGAGTTCAGTGTCGCGCCGGGTGGGTGGATGGCAGGTTTGTGCCTTTTCTTTACCTGTGGTTTCCTAATAAGTGCACTGAGGTTGGAGGCGTTATGCGCTACAGAGGATTGTACTGCATTCAGCTGATGACAGTCAGAGGCCCTCGCGTGGAGGGGAGGCCCAGAAGCCTGTGGGGGCTGGGGGGTCCCTGGAGGGAGCTGCTGTGTGCCGGCCTACGCCTGTGCCACCTCGTGCCAGCTCCTACCCGGGCCCAGGGCTGCGGCCTCTGCTCTGTCTGCCCCGGGTCACCCCCTCTTAGTCTGACTGCAAACCCCATGCGATGCTGCCGGCACTCCCTTCACCCCAACTTGGCCCCTCGCCGCCACCTCCGCTTGGTGTCCCATGGGCATCTCAAGGTGGACGCCCCCAGGCTCCTGGTGAGCCCTTCCCCTGAAACTCACACTTCCCTGGTCATCCGCCAAACCTGCAGCTGCCCGGTCGAAACCGTGCCGTCCTCCCCGATGCCAGCTTCTCTCATTGGCCCTCCAATGTGCCAGTTAAACTGCTGGGCTCTCCCTCCAGCACGTCTGCAGAACCCAGGCATGTTTAAGCAAGAGCAACAGCAGCCCAGCCGGCTCACAGGCCCCATGGCCTCTGCCGAATGCCCGACAGCCTCAGCCTGCTGCATTTCAGTTTCCAACCCAGCAGCCTGGTCTTTTGAAAACGATGCTGTTCCTCTGCCACTCCCTCTGTAGCTTCCTGCTTCATTCAGGGTTCTGGTCCCAGCACCCCCTGGAGACCCTCTCGCACCTCCATCTCTGAGACTTAGCCCCGCGCCCTTTCCTCCCTTGCTCACTCAGCGGCAGCTGCACTGATCTCCCAGTTCTGTATTGAGCACACCCAGCAGGCCCCTGCCTCAGGGCCTTTGTACCTCTTTCCTCTGTCCTGCAGCTCCCTGTGCAGATGTAAGGTTGTTTGTGGGACCTCTGGGAGTCTCCCACATAGAAAGCACCCCTCTCTCTTGCTGCCAGCATGATTTACACCCCTTGTTCTGTTCTGTGGCCAGACACGTGCTTGTGTTGTGTGTATTTGTTAATTTAGCAGCTAGAAAATAAATCATATAATAGCAGCTCCTAGAGCCTGTGCCTAGCAGGTAGTAAATAGTTACTCATTAAATGAAGGACTAGAAAAAAATTTCAGTAGTTTTTAGAATTTGATATATTAATTTTCCAATAAAGTCCTTCCCTACAATTGAATGGTAGTTATGATGTAACCGTCCCTTTCCCTGGAAGTCGTATTTGTGTTCTGCGACCAAGGTCAGTCCATTCAGGTATTACTGAAGCCACTGGAATTGCTCGTTGGTTATGTATCGGTCACTGATCGCAGGACTAGAAGATTTGAGTCTTCCGACTGGCATTGTCTCACCCACAGCAATGATCTCTCCAGATTCCTGTTTCTCAGTGGCTCTGGAGGGCCCAGGTGGAGGAGGGAAGTTTATTCCATTTGTAATTATTCATGTATGTTTTGGGCACTGTAGCGACTGCTCAGTTTGCACACAATTCCTGTCCTCCAGGAGCTGCGATGCTGGGGTGAGCCCAGAGCCGGCAGGGTTTCTTTCCCAAGCCAGCCATCAGGAAGGGGTCAGAGGTGGCAGCGGGTGCCTGGGGCGCTCTCAGAGGACAGGAAGGGACCTGTGGGGGTGGGGAGGGGTGGGGGAGTACAGGTTGAGAGAGAGGAGGGAGAGCTGGGGTGTGAATGGGACAGAGCCAGCAGGGCCGAGGGTGAGGGAGTGCAAGGCAGCGTCAACAAGGGAAGCAGCCATGGCTTGAACTCTGCGCACTGATGCTGGTTAGGACCAGAGTCCGCTCCTCTGGCAGTCTGCCCCAGTTCCTTCCCGTCCTGATAAAATGTTTCAGTGTTTTCATTCTGAATAGTCAGTAGCGTAAGAAGAGTGTTTGGGAGATGCTTTGTTTTGTATCAGCTAAAGTCCTTTAAAGCCATTGCCTCCTTGGAACCATACTGTATACTTGACTTTTATCCTGGATTTTCTCAAAAGCCAGAGAAACGCAGAGACGAAATGCAACAGGGCTTCCAGTCTGTGCTCCTGGAGTTTCCCTTGCTGGGGTGTTTTTCTCCTGTTTGGTTTGTTTTTGTTTTTTGCTGCTGCCGCTGCCTTTATAGTGGGAAGTTAGGCAGTCAGAGCTAAATTAAGCATTCTTCCATACGGTGGCCAATCCCTTCCAGCGACAAGCATGCTAAGCAACCCGCGAGGCAAAGGCCTTGGGCCACCTGGTGTCACCACCAGGTGGAGCCTGCCCACACAGGTGGAAGGGCCAGTGCGGGCTTCTTGCTGGCACACCCAGCGCTGGTGTGTGTGTGTGTCTTAAGTGTGTGAGGGCTGATTTGGAGCTCTCGCTCTTCAGTCATTCGATTAAGGGGCACTGTTTCCCCTGGAATGGGTTTTCCTCGGGCCTAGTTCCCCCCTTGTTCCTACTTTAACATTGTTGCACAGAGCCTTTAACCATTCATTTCGCCACCCGTTCTGTGCTCCAGGGCAAAATGCAAATTCTGAGACCTGATTAGGTGTGGAGGAGATGGCTGACCCAGGATGCTGGAGCAGAGGTTTTCAGAGGGCACAGCTGTGAGGTCTGAGGGGTGGGAGGTGGTCTCCTGCTCCCTCCCGGCACTGCAGGGTCTCTCCGCCACCCTGTGCAAGCCTGGCC